AATTTTCTCGATATGGAAGAAAAATGAGGGCAATTTTGATGAAGGAGAATTGTTTGGCGGCCATCGGAGATAGATCAAATGGGATGAGCGATGAGCAATGGAACATAATGAACGAAAATGCTATTATAAGTCTACATCTAGGTCTTGCCGATTTTATGTTGGAAAGGGTAGAAGAGTTGGAGACTACAAAAGAGATTTGGGATGCTCTAACAAAGTGGTACGAGAGAAAGTCATTTCACAACAAGATTTTCTTGAAGAGAAGGATCTACACCATGAGGATGTCAGAATCAACTTCTATGACGGAGCACATCATTGCTTTGAATGCAATATTTTCAAAACTCTCGAAGATGGGTTACAAAATATATGTGAAGGAGCGTGCTGAAATTCTACTCCAAAGTTTGTCAGATTCGTATGATTTACTCATCGTCAACATGACCAGTAATATCCTCAACAGATTATTTAGTCTTTGATGATGTTGCAACTACTGTTCTGGAAGAAGAAAAGAGACACAAAAATAAGCAAGGCATGTTGGTAGGCTCGCAGCAAGCAGAAGCTTTGGCAATGGTGAGAGGAAAATCAACAGAACATGGCTTCAGTGGGAGTCAGCGCTGGAAAGTCAGGAAGTAAGAAGAAAATCAAATGTTATCACTGTGGTAAGAAAGGCCACACTAAGAAGCAGTGTTGGCACCTCAAGAAGGGTGAAGAAAATAGAAGAGCAAATTCTCAAGGAAATGTTGCAAGTACTTCATCGAATGGAGAGATATTCTACATGGAGGTGACAACTATCACTGAAAGCAAGCAAAAATTTTCTAATGTCTGGCTTCTGGACTCAGGAGCTACGTGGCACATGACCTCACGGAGAGAATGGTTCCACCAATATGAACCTATCTCAGAAGGATATGTGTACATGGGAAATGATCATGCCTTGAAAATCGTTGACACTGGTACCATTAAGATGAAGATGGACGATGGTGTAGTCCGCACCATTCAAGGGGTACGGTACGTGAAAGGCTTGAAGAAGAATCTATTGTCACTTGGACAATTAGATGATGTTGGGTGCAAAACCCGTATTGAGAATGGGATCATGACCATTGTCAAAGATGCGCTTGTGGTGATGAAAGGTGAAAAGGTGACGGCAAATCTGTACATGCTTAAAGGAGAGACACTATGGGAAGGAGAAGCAAGTGTCACAAAATCAAAATCAGCAGAAAAATCTACAAGATTGGGCAATACGTTTTGGGCTAAAGTAGTCATGACCGCCTATTATGTGATCAATAGGTCTCCGTCAATCGCAATTGATCTGAAGACACCAATGGAGATGTGGACAGGAAAGCCAGCAGATTATTCTCAACTCCATATGTTTGGAAGTATGACGTATGCGACGTACAAAATCCAAGAAACAACTAAACTAGATCCAAAATCTAGAAAGTGTATTTTCTTAGGGTATGCTGATGGAATCAAGGGGTATCGCATGTGGGATCCCACTGCCCACAAGGTTATAATCAGCAGAGACGTCATATTCGTAGAAGGAAAGGTAGAAAATGATAGCACGTCAAAGGAAAAGCCAGAGATTGTGATAGTAAATGTTGAAGATCGAGGGGAACATCAAGTTCTAAATTCTTTTGAAGATGTACTGGAGCACGATGAACAAGTACAAATTGAGTCTCCATCACCACAACTTCGACGATCAGATCGCGAAAGAAGAAGACCAATTTGGCAAGAGAATTATGTTATGGAGGGAAATGCTATGCACTGTCTACTAACAGAGGATGGAGAACCATCGACTTTCGATGAGGCTATACAAAGCCAAGATTCATCCCTGTGGATGACAATAATGCAAGAAGAAATGGAAGCCCTTCATAAGAATAAGACTTGGAATCTTGTTCCATTACCACAAGGGAGAAAAGCCATTGGGAATAAATGGATCTACAAAATCAAATGTGATGGCAATGATCAAGTGGAGTGGTATCGCGTTAGATTGGTAGTAAAGGGGTTTTCCCAGAAAGAAGGGGTTGACTTCAACGAGATATTCTCTCCTGTTGTCTGATAACAGTACGAATAGTCCTGACGATGTGTGCTACATTGGACATTCACCTAGAGTAGTTGGATGTGAAAACTGCATTTCTTCATGGAGAGTTTGAAGAAGAAATATACATGCTACAACCAGAAGGATTGAAAGAAAAAAGAAAAGAGAACTTAGTTTGCAGGCTAAACAAATCTCTATATGGTCTCAAACAGGGGTCAAGATATTGGTATAAGAGATTTAATTCCTTCATCATAAGCCTTGGGCACAACAAACTAAATGCAGATCCTTGTGCATATCACAAGAGATTTGGTGATGGTGATTTCGTAATTCTGTTGTTATACGTCGATGACATGTTGGTAGCAGGCCCTAACAAAGATCGTTTTAAAGAATTGAAGGCTCAGTTGGCTAAGGAGTTTGAAATGAAGGATTTGGACCAAGCAAACAAGATTCTGGGGATGCAAATTTATCGAGACAGAAATCATAGGAAGATTTGGCTTTCACAAAGGAACTACATAAAGAAGATCTTGCGTCGTTTCAACATGCAAGATTGTAAGCCAATATCTACCCTTCTTCCAATGAATTTCAAGTTATCCTCAAGTATGAGTCCTAGCAATGAAACAGAGAGGATGAATATGTCTCGAGTACCGTATGCATCAGCAGTGGATAGTTTGATGTTTGCCATGGTTTGTACTAGACCAGACAATGCTCAAGCAGTGGGAAGGGTCAGTCGATACATGGCGAATCCTGGAGGTGAGTATTGGGGTGTTGTGAAGAGGATCCTAAGATACCTGAAGGGTACCACAAATGTTGCATTATGTTATGGAAGATCAGACATGACTGTTACTGGATACGTTCATTCATATTATGCCGGTGACCTTGACAAAAGAAAGTCCACCTCTGGATACATATGTTTACTCTTGCTGGAAGAGCTGTAAGCTGAGTTTCAAAACTACAATCTATCGTGGAGATATCTATGATAGAGTTGAGTATGTGGCGGATACACAAGCCAGCAAAGAGGCAATCTGATTGCAAATGTTAATGGAGGAGTTCGGACACAGACAAGATAATATCATCTTGTTCTGTGATAGTTAGAGCGCTTTGCATTTAGCGAAAAATCCAACATTTCATCCAATGACAAACCACATACGAGTACAATATCACTTTGTACGGGGGAAGGTGGAGAAAGGAAGTGTGGATATTCAGAAAATCCATATGGAGGCAAACATGATAGATATGTTGACAAAGCTAGTAAACAATAAAAAGTTCGTCTGGTGTCGATCTTCTATGGATCTAGGAGAGACGTAAGCAACATGGAGATGACGAGGTAGAAAAGAAGAGGAAATACAACAAAAATGGTTTTGAGCAAGAGAATGAAAAGTGGAGCAAAACCACTTTTGATAAAAAGTGGTCATGAATGATGGCTTGGAGGTTTGGACGGAAGAAGGTGGTAGGCGCAGTGTTTTGCTGAAAAATTAATTAACTGGGGGCCTCGCTATTTTGGAGTTTTCTCCATCCCTTTGCCTATATAAGGCAAGTGTACCAGCCTCGATAATGTATCCCACAGCAAATCCAAAGTAGCAGATAAAAGAGAGAGAGAAAGGGAAAGAAAGAGAGAGTGAAAAAAAAATCCGGGTCTCTCCTATTTTTTCGAGTTTTTCCTCTTTATTTCTGAGTATTTAATTTCTCCTGTAAAAGAGAAAATTATTCTTGTATTCTCCTTAATTATAATAGAGAGAAGTGTTGTAATTCCTTAACAGTCGGTATAAATCATTCTACTGTTCGCCCGTAGACGTAGGCACTCTGCCAAACCACGTAAATTTTCGGTGTCCTATTATATATTTTTCTTATCTCAATTTAGTTGTCTAACAGTGATTTATCCACGTTCGATCTTAACAACTAATTGGTCCACGTGAGACAAGAAAACAACTCTCATAGAATACTATAGTAACGATAATGTTTTGCAAATCGAACTCTCTGTTGCACTGTACAACTCTCTTGGATAACTTTCGATCTGTGTGAATGAATTGAAAAGTGTAAAACTCTGTGTTCAAACTATGTGCTACTTCAAACTATGTATCTATATGTATGTATATATATATGTATGCATGTATGTATGAATCTACACATGTATATATGTGTATCCATTTATATATTGTATATGTGTTGTGTATATATGTGTGTCTAATTATTTTTTTGGTTTCTTATATTTTTTAAGAAAAATCGCTTATAAATACCTAAATTTTTACAAAAATTCTACATAAATATCTGAACTATAATATTTCTATATAGATACCTTAATTTTTCTAAAATCCTACACAAATACCTAGACTTCTGAAAAACTCTAAAATAAACTCAAAATTCGTTAATGACATTATCTATTTTTATTTGAAAATACCTGAAATTTATATTTATTTGAAATTTTTTTCAAAAGTCTAGATATTTATATATGATTTTAATTTAAAATTTTAGATACTTATATAAAAGTTTTATAGTTCAAGTATTTATATGATATTTTCATAAAAGTTTAGGTATTTATATGTTATTTTTCTATTTTTTATTATTTATATTTTTCTTATTTTTTTACTAATTTTAAATCAAATTCAATGATGTGAAATTAATTAGTAATGTTATATGATGACGTAACATTTTTTAACCCATGGCACTAATGTGGATAGATTTCAGTTTACTATTATGATAACATTACGTTTTATATGGGACTTTGTAAGAAATTACCATATTTTTTAAAATTTCAAATACATGTACGTAGGGAATTTAAAAAGTACAAATTTTATTGGTGATATTCCTATAATTTTATTTTTATTGAGTATTTGGTCTAATTATGAAAACCAAAAATGTTGTTTATACGATATTGTAGATATCTGATGTTCAATAGTGAGGACGTAATCTGCGAATCTCGAAAGATGAAATTGAGATACTTCTTATGTAAAACTCGTTAAATAGAAAACAATATCAATTATTCGTGCTGATATTGTTTGTAAATCAATGTTACAAGCCCGTTGATTATAAATTAGATTAATATCATCATTTCATAGATTACGTGCGCCTGGGTAACATGTTCGCGATAACAAGAGTGATTCCACAAACATTCCCGATATACTCGCTGCTCTTCACAACCGAAGGATCAGCTTTGACGTTCTTGAGGTCGTCTAGACATGAGTCTGGACCATCCATAGCGGCCGAAACCTTGACGTTCACACTCACTGGATCCCCAGCCGCCAGATGCTCCTTGGCTTCATCCAGGGTGTCGACAACCGATTCATAATTGTCTAAGCACGATGTATACGCCTGCTTTGATTTCGGGTCGGTTGTCTTCTGGACAATGGACTGGATCCTCTTAAATGTCTTTGATGCACTTGTTTGCGCCGAATCAATAGCGATCTTCGCAACAGCGGGAAGGCCGGCGGCCAGGATCTTCGGGTTGGACTTTAGGAATTTCAGACAGAAAGATGGGTTTAGCGTTTTGCCGCATATCGCATTTATGTTTGCGGTCGTTATTGCGTACGAAGAACCGATTAATAGAAAGAACATCAGAGAAGACAGGAAAGCATTGTTCGTAGAGTATGATGTCGCCATACTTGTTCCTTGTATTTTTCAAACTTGTGTGAGATGATGGGGAGATGAGGGATGCATGTATATTTATACATGTTTGGTCGGGTGGTTGACTAAATATAGAGAGAGACCGTTGTTCTGTTGTTTTTGAGAAGTAAAAGACAGTTTTCTCATTCTTGGCATAAACTCATAAAATAGTTATTCTAGTAACGAATTCGGTTGTTTTAGTTTTATATAAAAAAAAAAAAAATTGGCACTAGGTTTCCATTTATTTTGAATTTGAGGTGCTAATAAAGAACATAATGGTAATACACCATAATAAGTGTTTATAATCTTTAGTTATTTCAATTATCTTAAATATTCTCTTTTATATGGGGATTATAAGAAGAATCATTGTAGTAATCGAGGGTAGAGTTTTTTGGAAGATCTGCTTTTTAGGTTAAGCAAAACCCGCCGAAGAGAATAATATATAAAATTTACACTTTTACAAAAAAAAACATTGAGGATATGGTTTTAAAAGTATATATAATATATCTAGAATAAAAAAAAAATTGTTGCCAATATGATTGATGCTTAGATCAATATATATGGGGCAGATTGATGAAATCACTTTGTTCTTGTCATTCTTCTTTTTCACAAGTTCGAAGGGAGTAGGATAAACCAAAATTCGATTTAAATTAGAGGTGGGCATTTCGGAATTCATTTCAGAATTTTTCGATTCGGGAATGGTTTATTCAGTATTCTAAAATTTGTACCAAATTAGTAACATATATTATTCGATTCGGTTCGGTTCCGGTTTGGATACGGTTCGGTTTCGATTTTTGTTAAAAAAAATTAGATTTTCTTAAAAAAAATTTCGATTTTTCGAGAATTTTATAAAGTTCGATTCGGTTTAGTTTGGTTTACAGAAATTTAATTCTATAAAAAATATAACGTTCGAAAATTTTGAATGATACGATTCAAAAAAAATACCGAGATTTTCGAACATCTGTTTAAATATACTAAACCAAAGCTCAACGAGCTTGAATGTTAATGGGGAGAATAACTATTCTACCCTCAGTGAAGCGGCATTTTTGTCGGTCGAAACCCTCCAGGTGAGAACCGGAGGATTCCTTCGTCTTTTGCTGTTTTTTTTCTCTTCCACGAGATCTTTGGCAAGTTATCCTGCAATATAGAACGCCCAAAAAAAAAGAAATGTTTCTAACAAATATAATTGAGACTTGTTAAGTCGTCTTATTATTTATACATTGGAAAATATTTTTATACTAACAAATAATCTTAAATATATAAATGTGTTCCATGCCGAGTGAGTGGCAACAAATTTGTGAAAGCTTTTACCATCGCCAGGCCTCCGAAACACGCGCAATTCCGTTAATGCATTAACCCTAATTTTATCTTTCAAACTCCAAATTGCTCCTTTTCATTTTGTTTTTGCAATTTTGTTTTTAAAATTCATTTCAAAACCACCAATGAGTTCTCGTTCCTTCTGTTTTCTTATTTTCTTTGGTCAAAATCATGTTTAAGAGATTTTATAATTCTCTCAAACTTCTTTTAATTTCATATTCTCTCCTCCTAGGCCCTTCCTCTGCTCTCAAGGTAAGCCAAAGAACACATTCCTTACGTTTTGGTGGTCAATCGCAATAAAATTAGTACATTAATTAATAAACAAACGGAGTTTAAATCTATTTCTTTTTCAATATTTATTGGTTTTGAAAGAAATAAACTGGTTTTCTTGCTCTCCTTTCACAAGAGAGAGAACCAATTTCTTGATATTAGGGGAAGATCGTGAAGATTTCTCAGGAAATAGAAATGGGTTGCTTACAACTTTCATGAAGCTATAAAAATGTTTTCTTTTTGAAATTATAAACATAGGTTTTATCGCACTCTTCAATAGAATATACAAACTTGCTTTCTTGATATGTGCGCAAAAAAATGGGGCAACAATTCATGAGATGAGATTATAGATATTAAGATTTTACAATATTTTGAAACAACCTTCAAATGAGATCCTTTATTTTTTATTTTTGGTAACTGAATATTTTGAAAAAAATTGCGGCCTAATAAAAAAAACGTTTTGGACATTAATTAACTACACTATCACTATTTTTGTTGTATAAGATATCAAAGTGGATCATTGACTATATTATTATTATAAAAATATATATAATGTTCATATATTATAACTAATTAAATGTTGTACATAGAATTCTCTCCCTATAAATAAAAAAACTAGCTTTCTTGTTTTGTGCTCATGAGAAAGAGAAACAATTCCAAGAAAGAAGATGACGGTATATCATTAACTAAGATTTCTCATCAAATAAATTGAAAAGGGTTTTCTTAGATTAACTTCATGCAAAAATGTTTTTTTTTTCCCAAAATTCTTAGTGGGTTTTTAATAGAATTTAAATCACATAATTTTCATAATTGCTTTGGGATATCATATATATATACACACACATATATATTTCAGGAAGGAGAAACATGTATAGCAAATGGGAACTGTGACAGCGGATTGCACTGTGATGCATGTCTTTCCAACGAAAATTATCGCCCAAGATGCATTAGAATGCAACCTATTCACCCTTTCTCCAAGGTTTGTTATCATGATTAATTACTTTAACCTTAAATCATATTTTAAAATTCAATAATTACGTGTTTAGTCGCTTTGGTTAATATCGTGTGGTTATCAAGGCAAAGGGCTTACCATTCAACAAGTACTCGTGGTTAACGACACACAACTCCTTTTCTCGCTTGGGGGCAAAATCATCAACAGGGTCTGTGATTCTTGCTCCATCGAACCAACAAGATTCGATCACAAGCCAACTCATTGTATGTATCTAATTAACTCATCACTGACATTTCTCGATTCCTTTTCCCGAAATTGAGATAGAATACGAACTTATACCCCGACTAATCATATATATATATATATATATGGGCGGAACCATGTAGAGAGATGAACAGGATTATATGTCATTTAATTAAGGTATAAAATTTTAAACTAAATTGTTATATACCTCCATAATAAAAATAAATAAATTTGTATCAAAGTAATATTGAATGTGCATTCCCCTTTGAGAATTATAATGACACATTTTGCAAAGTTTGGAAATAAATTTGTCTGGAAAGTTTAGGAATTAATTTTTCACAATTTTACAAATTTAAGAATTTTTATGGGTTTTATCCAAATTTTTGTCACTTTCCCATTTTTTATTTGGTAAAGTTATGCAATCCACCGATCATCCTAAATAAGAAAATATAGAGAATAAGAACATTAAATACGTGAATCCAACGATTTTACAGGTACGCGTTCATCTTCCTGATTGCTTGGAGAACTACATGATTGTTAATGGAAATGAGAGAACGTAACGAGAAAAATGGTAAAACCGTTTTAAACCGAAACGAACTGAAGATTATTAGCCGATGTATATTTCGGATGATCGGTGGTTTGCATAGTTTTGAACCATTTCATGTCATCTAGTAGGTGTAGATATATAGACCGTTCTCCTGTAACATTATTCGTTGATTTCGCATTTTAATGCAGAACGGTGTTAGAGGGTTTACGCTCGATATGTACGATTTCCAAAATGATATATGGTTGTGCCATTCGTACGGAGGAAATTGCTTCAACTACACTGCCTATGTAGGTATTTCTACTTTATAATTTCATGTGAATATATATATATATATATGTATATAAACCCCATTGGTTACAAAGAGATTTTGAGAAAACATACACAAATTTGGTCTCTACGTAGTTATTTAATTTTTTTTACCTCGTAGTTATTTAATTTACATGATGAAAGAATACATTAAACCCCTCGATACTTCAGTAGAAATATATATGCTAAATGTGTAATGTATATGTTAACATGTACATAAAAGGAATGATTTTCCTGATATATATATATAATATTTCAAAATGTATCTCTTTGGACAGCAACCTGCGATCCCTGTTCTGAAAGAGTTCCAAGTGTTTCTAGAGAAGAACACTCATGACATCGTAACGATCATCATCGAAGATTACGTGAAATCGCCCAATGGACTCACCAGAGTATTCAACGATGCTGGGCTAAGGAAGTTCATATTCCCGGAGACAAGAATGCCTAAGAACGGCGAGGATTGGCCGACGGCCGAGGATATGATCCGCCAAAACCAACGGTTAGTCGTTTTTACATCCGATCCTCACAAGGAAACGACCGAGGGAATTGCATTTCAGTGGAAATACATGATAGAAAATCATTGTGAGTCTTACTTCTTGCTCTTTTTCTTTTATAAACTTTTCACAAATTAAACACTCACACTTTATTACATAACACAATTACATACACACATCACATTTTTACTCTCGTAAGAGAGGATTACAGAAAAAACATCTGCAATAGTTTTTCAAATCAATCAATACAACCTTTTAAAGAGTAACTGTCAACGGTTTTGGAAAAACCATAGAACCTTATCTAAATTAACCGAACCATACAACAATAACTGTTTCACCAAATGTCTCTTGCTTCAGCTTCTCCAACGATTCTTCTACATCTTCAGATTTCATCATTCTCGAATCAAATCTCTAACACTCCTCCTTGACTCGAGAACTCTTGCGCATCACAAACCTTAGCTTTCAAGCTTCAGCGCAAATTTTTTGTCTTCACAACAATCCATTTTCTCGAGTGCAACTCTGCCCCATCTCGAGTATCCACATGTGCTTATCGATTGCATCTTTGTCGCTTCTAGAATACGCAACTTTCGAGTTTACCTAATTGAGGCATAATAAACCCATATCAACGTTGCATCAATCTTTTCCACTTCCTTTCTTGAAGCTTCAACACTGTCTTCATACTCAGAGTGGCAAACTCTTCCTCCATCAAAGTCTCATTCGATCTGGAGTCCCAGATCCTCTTCTTAAGGGAACCGACAACAATTGTGACGTCCTAATATCATCAACCAGAAATTGGAATCACTCTTCATCTTCACATGGGAACCCGACAACAACCTTGTGTCGTTGGGTCCTTTTTTATTGACTGATGCCTTTTGTGGTCTCTGGGACAGTTTTGTCTCTCTTTGCTTGAACACATAACCACCATTAACGCTTCTGTTTTTTTTATTGCTCTTTTAGCAATCGCCAAACTTTTTCTATTGTTGAGTGGAATCTTCACTATCGTCAAAACCTTCACGTGCCCACTTCAACATATTTCCAAAAAAAAAAACACTTTTCCCAAATAATGAATCTTTCAATGATGTGAAAGAACCCAATCCTCCTTGCAATAAAACAACGTCTTCTTCCTCTTCATTCTCACTGCTCTCTCTCTAAACTCACTGAAACTTTATCTGGGTCCTCCTTCATCTCCTCAATACTTTGTTCTCCGATGTTGACAGATCCGACGACACCCATATCTTCATCTTCTTCTTTTGTTCATCACTATGACCACCGATCGGAATCTTCCATCTCTGCCACGGCATCCAAACGAAACACCACAGATCTCGTAAGATCATTTTTGCTCTGATACCATGTAAACTTTTCACAAATTAAACACTCTCACTTTATTATACAACACAATTACATACACACATCACATTTTTACTCTCGTAAGAGAGGATTACAGAAAAAATCTCTGCAATAGTTTAAAGAAATCTAGAGCAGGAAAGTGATTTGTGATGAACAGTGAAAGACCAAGAGCTAGAGAACTCGATGATTTGGTCTGATTGTTATTCCAGGATTTATACAGAAGTTTACAGTGTGAAGAATAAGTCAAGTAAATCATTCTAGCCTATAAATGAGTGTACTAAATATTTACACGAGATTCATATCAGAGACAGCACTATGATTGCTGCTACCTTCCATATCCAGCAGAGGAGTTAACGTGATCTGTTGGGAATGGTTTGTTTCCATTCTCGGTGGATGCTTCCATGGTGGTTGGCTGAGTTTCAGTTCTTGATTTCGAGACTTCAGCTTCTGGTCTTGCTTCTGAGTCTTCCTCTCCAATATTCCCCCTCAAGGTTGGTCGTCGATTGTCGACAAGACCAATCTTGAACATCAGGTCATTGAGGACGAAGGAACTTGTTGCTTTCGTAAAGATATCGGCGAGTTGATCCGAGCTGCGAGTGTAGTGAGTGCTGATGGTCCCATTGGCGATGTGTTCCCGGATAAAGTGACAATCTATTTCAATGTGTTTTGTGCGCTCGTGAAAGACGAAATTTACAGCGATATGGATTGCTGCCTGATTGTCACAGTGTAAGGGCATTGCTTCTGAGTTTTCCATGGCAAGATCTCGGAGGAGACCTTTTAACCAAATCATCTCGCAGGTTGTGCTTGCCATAGCACGATACTCGGCCTCTGCACTTGAGCGGGCAACAACCGTCTGCTTCTTGCTTCGCCAAGTGACAAGGTTTCCGCCGACAAACGTGCAATAGCCTGTAGTGGACTTCCGATCGTGTCGATCGCCAGCCCAATCAGCATCCGAGTAGGCCACGATCCCGGTATCCCCTCTGTTTCGCATCCAGATTCCGAGGCTGGCTGTGCCCTTCAAGTAGCGTAAGATTCTGTCGACAATTTGCCAGTGATGTTTCGTCGGTTTGTGCATCCATTGACTAGCCTGGTTGACAGAGAAGCTTATGTCAGGGCGAGTTATAGTAAGGTAGATTAACTTACCAACCAGACGCCGATATTGCTCCGGATCATCATGAAGATCGTCGTCGGTCTTGTCCTTGTGAGTTGCTTCTAAAGGCGTTCGAACAGGTTTAGATCCTAGCTTTCCTGTTTCACTTAGAAGATCAAGAGTGTATTTCCTTTGTGATAAGAATAAGCCATCATAAGAACGAAGGATTTCGATACCCAGAAAGTATTTAAGGGTACCGAGATCGGTGATATCAAAGGTATGATGAAGATAAGATTTAGTTTCTGCAATACCCTTGGAGTCACTACCGGAGATGATAATATCATCTACGTAAATGAGTAAAGTGATTATACCATGGTCCGTTTTGCGAACGAAAAGAGAGTGGTCAGCTTCACTTCGGGAAAAACCAAACGAAGTGAGGGCAAGAAACAGTTTATGATACCATGCCCGAGGCTATTGTTTGAGACCGTAGAGGGATTTCTTGAGCTTACAGACTTTGTCTTTGCCGATCGTGTCACGTAGTCCTGGCGGAGGTTGCATGTATATGTCCTCCTCGAGATCGCCTTGGAGAAAGGCGTTTTTCACGTCCATCTGCCATAATTCCCAATTGAGATTAGCAGCCAAGGACAAAATGACACGTACCGACTTGAGGTTCGCTACTGGAGCGAAAGTATCTGTATAATCCTCGCCGTATGTTTGTGTGTAGCCCTTGGCGACTAACCGAGCTTTATACCGCTCTATATCCCCATTGCTTCGTCTTTTAATTTTAAATATCCATTTGCAGCCGATAGCTCGTTTGTCAGAAGGTAATTGAGTCACTTCCCAAGTCTGGTTTCGTTCGAGAGCATCGATCTCTGCTTGCATTGCTTCCCGCCAGATTTTCTGTTCTTTAGCCTTGGTGTAAGATGTTGGTTCTTCATCCTGATCAATGGCACTTAAATAACAGAGATCATGAGAAGTAAGATGGGATATAGAACAACATGTTTCAATGGGATAACGAGTGGTATGAGAAGAAGATTCAATAGTTAAATGCTGAGCAATATTAGTGCTTTTTACGTCAACACTATGGCAGCATGTATGAGGCTGCGAGGTGCCACGGGATTGGCGAAGGCGAATGCGTTCACTGCGGCGAACTTGGGGAGCAATAGCCTCGTTTTCCTGATGTTGAATTTCCCCCTCACACTGATGATCAGCAGGATTTACAGGAGCCTCAGTGTCCTGTTCTTCAACAAAAACAGGGTCAGTAATAAAAGGAGCTGAAATATGTTCAGGTGTAAATATAGTTTTCCAAATCAATCAATACAGCCTTTTAAAGAAGCAGGTAGGTGAGGAATGGAAGATGAGTGGCGAGCTCGGTGAATCAAGTCCAGAATTGCTGGGCTGAAGTCGAACTGTGGGTTCGAATCCTGTTGTCGAGAGGAGGCGTCTGTGGGAGCAAAGTAACTTTGGTCTTCATGAAACACAACGTCGCGAGAGATGTACATGTGTCGAGTCGGTGGATGGTAGCACTTATAGCCTTTTGTATCAGATGGATAACCCAAGAAAACGCATTTAGCTCCCTTAGGATCTAGCTTAGTTCTCTGTTCTGCTGGAATTAAAGGATAACACGCACAACCAAAAGTACGTAAATGAGTAATAGATGGTTTCTTGGAACGTAGTACCTCATACGGGCTCATGTCCTGTAGGATTTTTGTCGGCAATCTGTTGATAATGTAGCAGGCAGAAGCTACAGCATCAGTCCAGAAACTTTTTGGAACCCGACGGAAGAACAACAATGTTCTAGCAACTTCAAGGAGATGTCTGTTCTTCCGTTCGGCCACGCCATTCTGCTGAGGTGTGTACGGACAAGATTGTTGATGAATCATTCCGTTGGCAGCAAGGAAGGTCGTGAATTGCCGGCTCAAATACTCTCCACCATTATCTGTTCTAAGAGTTTTAATCTTAACACCAAACTGAGTGACAACATAGGAATGAAATTGTTTAAAAACGTCAAAAACATCGCTTTTGTTATGCAAGAAATATAACCAAGTGTACTTAGATTTTTCATCTATAAAAGTAACAAAGTATTTCATTCGATCATGGGAGAGAGAAGGAGAAGTCCAGACATCGGAGTGTACTAAGTCAAAGCAATTCTCATAAAACGTAGTAGAAGACGGGAAAACGCTATGGCAATGTTTGCCAAGAATACATGCCTCACAAAAAGACTTATTGTTTTTCGAATTCGGAACTAAAAGACTGAGAACTTTAGAGTGACAGTGACCAAGCCGAGCATGCCAAAGTGAAGAGGAGAAAGCAGATTTGATGACAGAGTCTTCAATAACATAAAGATTGTTTATTCTGACACCTTGTCCGAAGATTTCACCCGACTTAGTATCCTGAAATATGACATCATTAGCAGTAAAAACAGCAGAGCAATGCGGCCAGTTTGAAGTAAGTTGAGATATAGAGATAAGATTGGTATGGAAGTCTGGAACATGATACGCATCAACCTCTTTATCAAAGAGACGCAATTTCCCTTTACCTCTGATCGGTACATGATGCCCGTTAGCAACAGTCACGAGACCACATAATTTGTGAACTTTGTGAAGGAGTGTGGCGTCACTGATCATGGTGCTAGTAGCACCAGAATCGAGTATAAAAGATGGTGTATTAAGAGCATAATTATGAGATGATATATTACCAGATTCCTTGTCCTTCATGGCAAGGATGAGTTGTTTAAGGCTGAGCATGTCATCGGGGGAGAAAGTGACAGAGTCTGTTGCAGAGGAAGCAGAGCTTCGAATAGGTGGTTGATCCCGATATCTAGCGGGTTTAAGGTGAGGGTGCAGTAGCCAACATTTGTCTTTGATATGGCCAGAACGTTTGCAATGCTCACACCAGGATTTTCTGTCTCTTCCAGAGTTGTTGGGTTGAACTTTGTGCTTTTTGAAATGAGCAGCCTCGGTGATACCTGGAAATAGGATTTGGCCTCCTTCTTCCCTCTTTATCATCATACAAACTGCATCATACTTAGGTAGTTTGTCTTGACGTAAGATGTGATAAATAAGATTAGTGTAAGAGCTGTCCAAAGTGAGCAAGATGGAGAAAACTTTATCTTCTTCCACGCGCTCTCTGAAGGCTGTCAAATCTGCAGTGGAAGGTCGGAGTTCATCCAGTTCCGTCCATAGGGCACTAAATTCCCCATGGATCGTATTGAAGGCCTGTCCATTTTGCTGCAGAGCAAACATTCTCTTTTTCAATTCATAGATTCTACAAAGGTTTGAAACGTTACCATACACACTTTGAAGTGAATCCCATAATGCTTTTGCCGTTTCCGGGGCTATGAAGGATTTCAGAATGTTGTTGTCCAAAGAACTTTGCAAGATAGCCAAAGCCAGGCTATCATTCTTGCTTTGTTCAGCGAGATTGACCACGGGCGCAGCACCATCTTCTGTGGTTGTCTGTACGCCTTGTCCGGTGGTGACATATTCCCATAATCCTTGGCTCTTGAGGACAGCCTTGGCTGCTTTGCTCCAGTAGAAGAAATTCTCTCCATTGAGAGTTACTGGGATAAACTTGGCCCTGTTGCTGTCCATTGAGAGTGAGATTGGGTCAGGAAAAAATCAAAGATCGGTTCGCTCTGATACCATAAAGAAATCTAGAGCAGGAAAGTGATTTGTGATGAACAGTGAAAGACCAAGAGCTAGAGAACTCGATGATTTGGTCTGATTGTTATTCCAGGATTTATACAGAAGTTTACAGTGTGAAGAATAAGTCAAGTAAATCATTCTAGCCTATAAATGAGTGTACTAAATATTTACACGAGATTCATATCAGAGACAGCACTATGATTGCTGCTACCTTCCATATCCAGCAGAGGAGTTAACGTGATCTGTTGGGAATGGTTTGTTTCCATTCTCGGTGGATGCTTCCATGGTGGTTGGCTGAGTTTCAGTTCTTGATTCCGAGACTTCAGCTTCTGGTCTTGCTTCTGAGTCTTCCTCTCCAATATAGTTTTCCAAATCAATCAATACAGCCTTTTAAAGACAAATTAGTAACTGACAACGGTTTTGGAAAAACCATAAAACCTTATCTAAATTAACCGAACCATACAATAATAATTGTTTCACCAAATGTCTCTTGCTTCAGCTTCTCCAACGATTCTTCTGCGTCTTCAGATTTCTTCATTCTCGAGTCAAATCTCTAACATCTTTCTAGGGTTTATCTTAGATTCTATAGTGTTGGTTTAAATCTTATTTACAAGACAAGACTCTTATACTAGTTTAAGCGACAAAAAGCAAATAAAGATTCATGAGATTGATTATATTTGTATCAATCATATGTTATGTTATAATATATCAAAGTTATACATTGCAGATGGAAATGAGGGGATGAAACACGGAATGTGCATAAACAGACCAGAGTCATTACCAATGAACACGAAAACAAGATCACTTGTTCTTGTGAACCATTTCCCGGATGCTCCTGAATTGCTCACAGCTTGCAGACATAACTCGGCTCCTCTCATGGGCGCTGTCAAAGCATGTTATGAGGCATCCGGACAACGTTGGCCCAATTTCATCTCCGTTGATTTCTACAAGGTAAGAATTGTAGTAATTTAGGTTCTTGTTCACTTCCCATGTTCTTGTTTTTTTCCAGAAAATCTAAACCCTAAAACCTAACCTAAGCACTACATTCTAAAAGTGTAAAACCCAAAACCCTAAATTCTAAAAACGTAAAACCAATATGGAAAAATTGTAGATTTGAAGAAATAGTTTAAAAATAGTTTTTTTGGGCAATATCGCAAAAAAAAATATAAACTATTTAAATTCGGTATAAAAATATATGAACTTCTAATTTTGTATAAAAATACATAAACTTGAAATTTTTCGTGTAAATCCACAAAAAAACTAAACTCAAATTTATTTTTTGTAAATGTGGCTATATGCGAAAATTCAAAATTTGTGTATTTTTATACATTTTTGAGTGGATTTATAGGAAAGATTTCAAAGTTTGTATTTTTCTTTACAAAATAAAACATTTATGTACTTATTTATCAAATTTAAAAAGTTCATATTTTTTTTGGCGATACTTCCTACTTTTATTTTGTTTATTTTAGAAAATCTCTATTAGTTAATTAAATAGAATGTTAAAGTGAAGCATCAACTCGCTCTTTACTTATGTGTATGTATTGATGCTATAGAGAAGTGATGGAGGAGGAGCTTCACAAGCAGTAGATATTGCAAATGGTCATCTTGTTTGTGGCTGCGACAACATTGCCGCTTGCATGGTAAAGTTTCTATTAATTATATATTTGCATGGTTTATATTTAGACAACAATAACAATGGTCAAAGTTTATATATATGCATTTTTTTTTTTTTTGTAAAGGTTTGTGAGTCCATTCCATCAAACTTTTTACAAAACGGCTTTTCGACTACTTACGTGAATATCCAATATACCCAAAAGAAGGAAATATTCAAATATACATTTTTTTTACTAAAACTAGTTCTACTCCAAATTTGATCATGTGATCATAATAACAATATGTTTATATGATGATCACATTGATTATAATGTTAAATTTATTATGGTTCCATCAAAATATTAGTGTGATATTTAAGGTGTATGCATGATTATTTATTGTGATCACAATAAATTTAACGTTATAATCTTTGTGACTTCCATATGATTATATTGTCATTCTAATCATATGATCATATCTAGAGAATTGTTTATAAGTAGTTTTAGGAAAAGGGGAGTATTTTAGATAATACCCCATCCAAAAGAGGCCTTATATTGTTACAAAACGACTTTTTTGGTAAAGGACATGATAGATGAAATACACGATTTACCGTTTATTAGTTAGAACGTTTTATTGTGAGTGAAAGATATTTAGTCGATCCCAATTGAAGTAGGAGTGTCATAGTTCCTTGGTTAAACTCTTATATATTTACATATTTTTTGTGAATGCTTATAAGAAATTTCTTCCATAACGAAACCCTCATTTTTGGTCCTTTCGATTGTTTTTTCATATATATATATATATATATATACTACTATTTATGTGCTTACAACTTAATAATGTGGTGTCCATATTTGCAGGAGAACATGACGAAGGGAACATGTGCAAAGCAAGAAGCATCAGAGCAGAGTGCACTCGTGACAATTGCTAAACTAACTGCCCAAGCTTCGAATACCAAACCGGCCCAACTCCGGCTTTATGTGTTTGTTGTTACATCTATTGCATTTCTCAACTTAATTTAAATCTCTCATTCTTATATATATATATATAAACATTAGTCTTAATCACTTAATTAGACTACTTTATATAAAACTAAGTAGTGATAAAACCACACTAATACATTCTATTTTTATTCATAGTATTATTGGTGGTCTGATAATAAAGTTTTCTAGATTAGATATGGATACATGCATAAACTATTAGTGTTAATGTTTCGAAAGAATCTAATATTTGATGGTTCAACTGGTAAGAAAGTAAGAAAAACTCTTTTTCAATTTAGATTTGAATCTCCATTTGAAAAGGGGTATTCACCACTTCTTCGATTCTTTGTAAAATGTGGTTAGACCAAAAAACCGACTAACTCGGATTATAAAAAAAATATTTGAAAACAGCATATTCAAACAAAAGAAGATAAGTCATGTAACAATATAACAATGTTCAAAAAGTCGTCATCTATGAGATATTTAATACATTGTTCAAAGAACGTGTAATTGTAACTTTTTATTAGATTTTATTCCATAGAATTTTGCTGATATGATTTTTAATAAAACAGTATCGACACATGTAATTACATTTTTGCTTACAAATAGTGTGTCTTATGAGACTGTTATAAATAAATTATGGTGGAACCGAGCGTCCTATAGAGTTATTGTGTAGATTTTATCCATACCCAATGTCTTACTATTCATATGTATTATAATTTCAATAGAAGAAATAAATTATATAATTTTCAATGTTTATAACATTTCGTATATTTTCACCAAAATTTCCTTTTTGTTTTATAAAAATATATAAAATTGACGGTTTTTGATAAACCTTCCAAAGCCTTTTATATTTAATTTTTCAACTTTTGTGATAAACGTTATTTTTGTTATGAAATCGGAAGAAATATTAACGACCCGTATATTAGATCGTTAACTATAACTGAAAACTGTATTTTAGGAGAATGAAGAAGAATGTATTTCTTATTACTCTCTCTCTCTCTTGAAGGTGTACAAATGGAGGAACCCAAATGGCTTATTTATAGAAATCCCGAAGTTACTGTTCACGTATACAGTCGGTGTGAACAGTACTGTATATATGAACAGTAAATCGGTATAAACAGTAATGTTGGGCTCCACCATAAATATATTTTATTTATAACACTCCCCTTGGAGCCACTATTAGTAAATACAGTTGCGTGTTTTGGTGCTGCCTTGTTAAAAACCTTATCAGTAAAACCCAATGGGATAAAACCTTATAAGGAAAAAAGAGTACAGCTACACGCTCCCCCTGAACAAGACATCAAAGGTCCCGTAAATAACGCATCCCAATATTATGCATATGCTTCTTGAACACCATTGTTGGAAGGGCCTTGGTGAAAAGATCTGTTGAATTGTCACATGATCGTATATTTCTGACTTCAATCTCCTTATTTCTTTCAAGCTCCTAGGTGTATGCGAAGAACTTTGGGGGATATGTTTTGTTCTATCACTTTTGATGAATCCTTCCTTAGTCTGTGCAACACACGCAACATTATCTTCAAACAATATTGTTGGCGTCGTGTCCGTATGTATTCCGCTAGTCTTTTGAATATGTTGAGATAGTGATCTCAACCATACTGATTCTGAGATCGCCTCATGTAATGCGATGACCTTGACATGATTAGCTGAAGTAGCAACTAGAGTCTGCTTTTGAAAACGTCAGGCTAACGCAGTTCCATTGATTGTGAAGACGTAGCATGTTTATGATCTGCCTTTATGTGGGTCTGATAAATAACCTGCATCTACAAAACCAACAATTTCTTGTTTTGTGTTTTTAGGGTAAAACAACCCAAGATCAATAGTTCATTGAAGATAACGAAATATATGTTTAACTCCATTCCAATGTCTTCGTGTTGGGGCAGAACTGTATATTGCTAATAGATTGGTAGCGAATGATATATCTGGTCTACTACAATTTGCAAGATACATAAGAGCTCCTATTGCACTTAGATACAGTACTTCAGGACCAAGTATCTCTTCATTATCTTCGCGATGACGAAATAGATCTTTTTCAATATCCAATGTTCTATTAACCATCGAGGTACTTAGTGGATTTGCCTTATCCATGTTGAATCGTTTTAGTACCTGTTTTGTATAATTAGATTGATGTAAAAAGATTCCATCTTTCAAATATTCTATTTGTAACCTAAGACAATACTTGGTTTATCCAAGATCTTTTATTTCAAATTCCCTTTTTAAATAAGTTGATGCATCCTGGATTTCACGGGGAGTACCAATAATATTTAAATCATCAACATATGCAGCAATAATCACAAACCCACAAATTGTCCTTTTGCGAAATACACATGGTGATATATGATCACTTGTATATCCATTTTTTAATAAATGTTTACTCAAGGGTTTATACCACATACGTCCTGATTGTTTTATCCTATACAATGATCGTTATAACTTGACAGCACATAACTCTCATGGATTTGCTTTCAATGTTTCGGGTATTTTAAATCCTTCAAGTATTTTCATATAGATACTCGTGTCAAGTGACCCATATAAATAAGCAGTAACAACATTCATGAGACGCATTTCTAAATTCTTTGAAACTGCAAGACTAATAAGGTATCGGAATGCAATAGCATCCATAACGGGAGAATAAGTTTCCTCGTAATCTACTCCTAGTCTTTGGGAAAAAGCTTATGCGACAAGATGAGCTTTATATCTTACAATTTCGTTGTGCTCATTTCTTTTCCGCACAAACACCCATTTACATCCAACAGGAGAAACTTCTTTCGGTTTCATAACAATATGTCTGAATACCTTTTGCTTATTAAGCGAAACTAATTCAGCTTGTATTGTGTCTCTCCATTTATTCTAATCTGGTCTCCTTTGACACTCCGAAATAGATCTGGGTTCTGGATCCTCATTTTCATCAATTTCCTTTGTTACATTATAAGAGAATATATCATCAATCTCTTTGATTTCTTTTCGATTCCATAATATACCATTACTGATATGATTAATTAAGATCTCATGATTTCCATTATTTGGATTTATACCATCATCACAAGGTACTTCATTTCTTTGATTTAGAACGCGTTCCTCCGAATTGAGCATTTCATTTTTCTTGGGCCCTTTGCTCTTTCGGGGGTTTTTATCCTTAGAACTAATAGGTCGTCCACGCTTCAGGTATGTTTTGGAATCGTTTGTCGAATTTTCTTTCGTTTGTTCTTTCGGAATTTCAATCCGAGTAGGAACATTTTCGGTATCTATATATGATCTTGTTACTTTAGTTGTATCTGCAAATGCATCAGGTAACTGATTTGCAACATTTTGCAAATGTATAATCCTTTGAACTTCTAGTTCTCATTGTTTTGTTGGGGGATCAAAGTGGGATAATGATTGTGTACACCAACTAAGATCATTTTCATTTCCCACCATTCTATGATTTTCTCCCCATAATGGTGGGAATTCATTTCATTAAAATGACAATCAACATAACGAGTCGTAAAAACATCTCCAGTTTGTGGTTCAAGATATCGTATAATGGATGGCGAATCGTACCCAATATATATTCTAAGTCTCCTTTGTGGTCCCATTTTTGTACATTGTGGTGGGAAAATCGGGATATATACTGCGCATTCGAATATTCTGAGATGCGATATATTAGGTTCTTAACCAAATGTTAATTGTAATGGAAAATACTTATGATATGCCCTTGGTCTGATACGTCATGTAAAATAGCATGACCCCAAATAGAAATGAGTAATTTTGTTTTCATTATCAATGGTCTGACAATAAGCTGGAGTCGTTTGATTAATGACTCTTCCAATCCATTCTATGTATGAACGTGTGCTACTAGGTGTTCAACATCAGTACCCATTGCTGCACAGTAATCATCAAAAGCTTGTGATGTAAATTCTCCAGCATTATCAAGCCTTACTTTCTTGATCGGATACTCTGGGAACTGTGCCCTTAGTTTAATTATTTGGGCTAAGAATCGGGCAAATGCCAGATTACACGATGATAAAAGGCATACATGCGACTATCTCCTTGAAGTATCAATTAATACCATAAAATATCGAAATGGTCCACATGGTGGATGAATGGGTCCACAGATATCACCATGAATTCTTTCTAAAAATGAAGGTAATTCATACCCGATTTTAACTTGTGATGGTCTAATTATTAATTTCCCTTTAGAACATGCATCACAAGAAAGCTCATCCGATTGAAAAATCTTCTGGTTTTTCAATGGATCACCATGAGAGTTTTCGATAACTTTTCTCATCATAATGATACCAGAGTGACCCAATCGATCATGTCAAACTTTGAACGTATCAATAAACTTCTGGTTTACTATGACATGTGATTCAATCACATTGATATTAGTATAATATATTCTCGAGGATAGAGTGGGTAATTTTTCCAACATATACTTTTGTCCCGAACTGATTGAGGTGATATATAAATACTCAGTGTCATCCTCATTCATAGTTTCAATACGATATCCATTTTGTCAGATATCTTTAAAACTCAATATGTGACACCCGAAACCCGTATCCCGCAATACGAGTTGCGTCACATGGACAACTAAAATAAAAACTCTATTTCTAAAAATCCGCGGAATTTAAAACTTTTCTTTTCAGAGTTAGCGGAAGAAAACACTCATATATACATATATGATACATTATTATCAGTTATAATTATACATAGTCGAGTGGTAGTATAACATTATTACAAACTGAAACAGTCTACCACCGATATAATACAAACCGTTCCCCCAGAATATAAGTGTATCAAAATACGTAATTATACATGATCAGTAGTGGTAAGCTGCCCAGGTCTCCGATGTCCGCTCCGCGGCTACTGCTGCTCACGACCTAAAACGTTGCGTAACAACGTCCTAAGCTAATTACTTAGAGAGTGAACTCGGGCGTAGCTCGGAGTTCCATTCTCATGGAATCAGGGAAAGCAAATACATTTATATATACTAATAATTTAATAAACAGAAATTGAAGCACAGAATCACAATAAGCATGCATCAATCACAATCAAGTCCGTACGACAAGTCGCATGACAGAGTCCGTCAAATTATCTCTAAGCGCACCATGCGTAGGTAATATACTCCCCATGTGCATAGCACAACCACCTCTCTCCTCGGAATTCATCTACTCCGCAGTCACCCTGATCCAGCATAAATATATTTTTGTCTGCCCGAACACATCACCCCACCCTAGCATCGATGTCACCTCTCGATACTAGGCGTGTCACCTCACTCCGGTATTGATGTCACCTCTCAATACCGGAATTCACCAGACGTCGGCTACAACTGATGCCATCGACTATAACGGGAGAGCCAATCGCTGCAACTCCCCCTCGCCGACCATCCGCCGTGGAAATACTTGTCAGGTTCGTGCGCGAACCTAGCAGAGTAAATCCGTACCACCTCCTCGGGAGACCCCAATCTACCCGAATCTCAGGTATGTATAATGCCTCATCCTCGGGATAATCATATCCCGGGATTCGCTCCGTCGCTAGCAGAAACGTTAGCGCGGTTACTAAGAACCGTATATTCCTCGTCACGCAATAGTACCGACTACAATCGGCTATCCACGCAAGTCATCGGGGTGCCCATAACCGTCCTATCGTTCGGATGTTGGCGCGATTATGTCATCGCCATATTCACAATCATATCCCATATGGGTGACATCCGACCTGGATCGGATGGCCCATAGATGGGACGCAATCTCGCAAACATCGTGTGTTCAATCACAAACGCCCGGTACTACAATCACGCGCTAAATATTAATCCGAACCCTTTCGAATTAACGTTAACGCCATGCCAACTACCCCATTCACACGCATTTATATAGTTTATTTACTATACATGCATTTCCGTTTGCGTAGCCTTTTATATTCATTTGTATATTTTCTTTTCGGTCTCTCCAGTTAAATTACCGAGTTGTACCTCCGGTTTGACCTATCTGGTCCCGGTCCGCCCGGATAACCAGTTCGGTGCATTCCGTGGTTTTTAAGCTTACCTGTTATTCATTTTGGGTTCAGACCACGTGTGGTCTGGTCTGACCCGTATTTTCGATCTACTTCTATATTTCTCTCTTTTTCACCAAATTTGCACCAATACACATGATTTGTTACGGGTAATTCACAAAAATTATTATTTCCGTTAGAACATGAATCAACCATCAATCAATCATGAAACACTCAAAACCCAAAACCTCATGTCAATAGACTTCCGAATTAAACTCGAATTCACTCACCTTATTTTTGCCTTGTACTAGCTCTCGGTGTAACTTTTGTTTTGCACCTCCGAGCTATGTCACCTATACCATATATCATTGCACTATTATTATATTTACTAATAATTCTAAAGAAGGTCCGATGGTTTGCAAGGTTAGAACCCCTTTTTTTCTTAGATTTTAGCGAAGTGTGATTCAACTTTAAAACTACGGTTTCTTAGTTATATATATATATATATCAATTAGCTAGATTTGGTAGGATAGTTGATTATGCAGGCTTGTTCATGAAGGGTCCAACAGTTAGCAAAAATGAAACATCAGACTTTTCCTTCAAACACGTTCAAACAACAATTAGATGAGAAGTTGGTTTTCAAAATCATATTATACTTTCTCTAAAAGGCTAAGTTGTAGAGATCATCGGACATGCATAAGGTTTCGAATGAGGTTTAGAGGTTTAAAAAAATCCTTAAAAGCTTCGGAACTTCACTTTCTCAATGATCGGTTCACAAGAACAAGATCTTCTTCGGAGTTCTAATTAATTATCACCTAGTAATAACAATTTAATTGAAGATATTATGACATGCAACACAAAAGAATAAGATCCGTGAGTATTGAAAATCTGCAAATGACAAGAACTTACCGAAGGACAAAGGGATGAAAAACTGATGCAAGGAGTATTAATTATTTCCAATGTTGGAGAGTTTTTCCGACGAGAGGAAAGGTGGGTTTCCTCTGTATTCTCTCGATAATTACGTGTAATTGTGTGAAAAGATATGTCGTGGAGAAGGTGACAAAGGTAATCCAATCATTCACACGTAATGATGACTAGGGGATTATTAAACTAGGAGATAATCAAGTAGTGGTGGTTGTGTGTATGTGCGTTATTAGACTTACTAGACCATATATGTGTCAATAATGATTTGTATCTATGTAACTATTTTAATATTTTTAATCCATGATTCGGTGCTATTATTCTTCGCATGCACTATGTCTACATTTCATTTTACATACTTATTCATATATGTTTATATCTATGCATCTCTTGATTATTCATGTATATAAATATCCTAAGGTTATAAAGAATGTCCTAAACGTTTAATAATTGTGGTTGGGTTCTACATAATCTATTCCAAATAATTTCGATACCTTTTTTTTGTAGAAATTTTTATGAACATATATGGATTATACCTAAAACCGTTTGCTCGAACTCTACAGTCCGATCGAACCGTGTCTGCCTATAGTTGGGCTTTTAGTCCGACTCGGTCCTATATTTAGTCCGGACAATCTGACTTAAGTTTTAGTTTTCGGAATAATTTTCGGGTTTTAAGTTATGCTAAAACCAACTTTATTGCATTCCAAGTAAAGTCTAACATTTAACGGAACTTCATTTTTATTTTATCTCTAACGTTTATTAAGCTTCTAAAACTATTTTAAAACTTATTCGGGAATTGAAGATTATAGTCATCGGTTCTTTGGATCTCGATCACGATTTCTTAGTCTTATCCCGTCATTTCGGGAACGGGTTATCACACAGTAAATTTCTTTGGGATTTGGAGAAAAATAATACATCTTTTACTGTAAATTTCGTTCCTCCTGGTATAATAAAATCAGCTCTTCCGGAGCCTTCGATTATTTTTGCATTTTCAGATATAGTAGTAACATTTTCTTTGTTTATTCTCAAATTCGAGAAATATTTTTTGTCTTTCAATATTGTATATATTGTAGCACTATCTGCCAAACATATATTTCTTCTTCGGTCCACAGTTTTGACCATATTCATTTTCTATTCAAGGACAAAACAACATGACAAACATTAAAAAAAATAGATATATTAATAATGCATAATATCATTATTAACTTATGAAGCAGAAATAGTGATACAAAGCACAACAACATGTCATGAAATTATTTATACATGAGAATATATATGTAGATAAGATTGATTATATGAAGTATGCAAATATTTGTATAGTTTTTTTTATTATCATCAACGAGGTCCATATGTGCAAAGTCCTTAGTACCACTAGTATCATCATCATAATCACTCATGACATGATTGGTCTTGATGTCTTTCCCTTTTGTTTCTTTAATTGACTTCTGATAAAGTTCCACCAGATGTTTAGTTGTGCGGCAAATATGCGACCAATGTCCCGTCATTCCACAACGATAGCATGTACTTTCTTTTATCATCTTATTTGGATGACCATGCGCTTCCCCTTTATAACTGTTAAAATTATGATTTTGGGATGAGTTTCCTTTACCACCTCCTCTGATCCAACTTGACTAGCACCACGACCATATCCTCAGCCTCGGCCTCTGCCTCTACCTCGAAAATAATCACGTCTTCGGCCATTATAAGACATAGCATTCGCTCCAGGGAATGATGTTTTTTCTGTGGCATTTGCTTCAGAGAATGACTTGTTTTCTGTAGCATTCGCTTCGGAGAATGGTACAGATCCAGTCGGTCGTGACACGTGATTTTTTATTAACAACTCATTATTTTGTTCAGTCAATAGGAGAAATGATAAAAGCTCCGAATCTTTTTTTCTCGATATTGATGTTGGAGTATAATATTCGAGACATGCATAGTTGAGAAAGTTTTCTCCAACATCTCATTTTCGGTGACTGTTTCTCCACATAATTTTATAATCGAGGTGATTCGGTACATTGCCGAGTTATATTCACTGACATTCTTAAAATATTGAAATCGGAGGTGCATCCACTCATATTTTGCCTTGAGAAAGATCACCGTTTTTTGATGATCAAAACGATCTTTTAATTTTAACCAAAGATCTGCAGGATCTTTGACTGTCAAATATTCCTTTTTCATATCATCATGAAGATGATGTATGTAACGACCCGAGGCCGCTACGGAATGATAGAGCTATCCCCACATACCAACACGAGACCTTTTAGCATGTTTTGTACTCACTCGCACACATCCCGGAAAATACTTCCCAGGAGGTCACCCATCCTAAGACTACTCCAAGGCTAGCACGCTTAACTTTGGAGTTCTCTCGAGATGGACAACCGAAAAGGTAGATGCATCTTGTTGCTATGAGTAGCTCAATTAATTCCTTCAAGTTACCTTAGATTGTATAGTCCCATACCTATACAGCTTTCGGATCCCTCTCATTCCGGTGCGTCCGCTTCATCCCTGTACCCCTTACCCAGAATCTCGTCAGGAGCCGTCCATTGTCCATGCCTCTCGCACCGGCGATCACTTTCCGCCCTCCTACGGTATCCTGGGCTTTCACAGGTCCACCAGCTTCCGCCTGGTTCATCCACGAACCACACCGTACTGGGAGAGAACCGGTTCTGATACCATTTGTAACTATCCGAGGCCGCTACAGAATGATAGAGCTATCCCCACACACCAACACGAGACCTTTTAGCATGTTTTGTCCTCACTCGCACACATCCCAGAAAATACTTCCCAGGAGGTCACCCATCCTAAGACTACTCCAAGGCCAGCACGCTTAACTTTGGAGTTCTCTCGAGATGGACAACCGAAAAGGTAGATGCATCTTGTTGCTATGAGTAGCTCAATTAATTCCTTTTAAGTTACCTTAGACTGTGTAGCCTTAGACTGTATAGTCTCATACCTACACAGCCCTCGGATCCCTCTCATTCCGGTGCATCCGCTTCATCCCTGTACCCCCTATCCAGAAGTTCGTCAGGAGTCGCCCATTGTCCATGCCTCTCGCACCGGCGATCACTCCCCTCCCTCCTACGGTATCCTGGGCTGTCATAATGTAGCAGTAATATTAATGTCTTTGCTTTATTCTCTTTTGATGCACTTTGTTCTTTAATGGTGGTACCAAGACCTTTTGGTTCGAGATATTGTTCAACATCCAACTGCCATGATAAATAATTATTTATCAATATGTCGAGGACCTCGAACTCGATATTTTTGTCATTCTTGCCATTATGACTAAACAAAAAAATAAGCCATACATTAGCTTTATTCGTTACCATGGATAATATAACATAGTAAAATATATGATTACATATAAATTGCTATAATTAGCAACACATAAACGAGAGGTAAGACCGTAACGCAAATTGAAAACAAAAGTGGGTCAGAATTTTTATCGAAGAACATATTAAACGTTGCTGCTAAAATTGCTAGAACAAAGAGAATTTTGATAAAATTCATCTTGAGAGACTTTTTTTTCGTGGGAGAAGAGAAGAGAATGAGATGATTTGGTGTGGTTTTTTGAGGGAATGGATGAGTGTATTTATAGGGTAAAATTTACTATTCCTAACCATTGGGGAGGAGCCAAAATTTTATTTTTTTTAAATGTAACCGTTGGAGAAAAATAAATTTTAAAAAATTTATAAATGATTTTACCAATTTATATCATAAAACTATACATAAAACAATTTATCAAAACGAATTGTTAAACTATTTTGTAAAATTAATTGATCATGTTATGTATATAATTAACAAATTATTGAGGAAACAAATAATTTATAATTAATTTGTTGATATATGAAAGAATTTATAAATCTTTATTTGTAAATTTTATTACTAACACATTTTTTTTTATAGATTAAGTTCAAATAAATTTTCGTATAAATGACCATCAATAAATTTATATTATATATGATAATATTTTGCATGATGAATATTTATTAATTTATATAGATTAGATATAATAACTAATTCAGACGGCATTTCTGTCCACAAAGAATAAACACAATAGTCTATTATTAACTAAGGCGACATAGCTGTCCAATATTAATAATTAAGACGGCATAGTCATCCAATAATAAATAATTAAGGCGATGTAGCTGTTCAAATTAATAATTAAGGCGGCACATCCGTCCAATAACGAATAAATATTTAAGGCGGCATAGCCGTCCAGATTCACAATTAAGGGGGCATAACCATCCATGAATAATAATCGAGGCAGTATAGCCATCCATGAATAATAATCGAGACGGTATAGCCGTCCATAAATTAATTATAAAGAATATTGGTATTCATATATAACATGGGGTTAATTCCACTCAAACATCAATAAATACATGTATATATCATAAGAACGAAAATATTTGTATTGAAGATAAGTTATCTTACCTTTTTTAGTT